CGAATCTAGGTCCGCAGGTCCAGCGTCAAGGTATGCGTCTTGAGATTCTGGTGATTTGGCCATCGTAATGACAGCTGAGTCCGCAGTAGCAGCAAGCCTGCCAAAATCTCCCGCAATCCGGGGAGGTTTCAATCCCAATGCCCACCCGCCCCTGAACGCTAAATCCTAAACCTTGGAACTTTTGTTTTTTGAGTACGATGTCGAATGCAGTTTAAAGTAATCCAATCCTACTCTTTCTCAGCTATCCTATGACGGACAAAAGTCTGGCCAGCTGCGGAAACTTTCTCTCTATCTGTATCTATCTGTACATGTCTGTATATTTATACACAGAGGTTTACATACTTCAATTTCATATCTTGCTTTTCTGATCTTGTCTGGCTCTCCAGGTGCTTATCTTCAGCTACTGCTTTGCGCTGAAGGCTCCCCTCCTGGGGTTTCCGTATTCTTGTGAGTAAGGGTCGGGTTCCTTCCCCAAAGGGTCCTATGTACTGTTATGGGGAATAGTTCCTCAAATCATAATAGCAATTCCTAATATAGAAACCCTACATTCTACTATATCGGTACTTTGGACCCTTTGGGAGGGTCGGGTTCCTTCTGAGGATTACTCCCGAGGATTCCTTCTCGGGAGGCTCGAGGGCTTCGGGGCGGAGTTTGCGTTTGCAGGGCTCCTAACCCCTAAACCCAGGGGTTTATCGTTTAGGGTTTAGGGTTTAGGGGTTACCCTAAACGATAAACCCCTAAACCCCTAAACCCTAAGCCCTAAACCCATGCTTCATGGATTTGCGTTGGATTTTGAAGCCGGGGCTTCGAGACATACGTTTAAGGCTTTGGGTTTAGGGGTGTAGTCGTGTTGGGTCCTCCTTAGGGATGAAACGGAGCGGTCTGGACCAAGGATTACATAGTCTTCGGAGGATTCAGGGGGTTTTTGACGTAGAGCCGTCAGTTTAGTCCCTGGCATGAAATCATGAGCTTCAGAGGCAGTGACTCTTTTCACATCAGACACTGCAAGGCTCAAACCGGCTAGTAAGTATAGGTTATATGTTGATACTACCCTATTGTTGATCTGGCTTCTGTCATTGCATGTCCACTGTTCTTCTCAGCGCTCCTTTCCATGCTATATGTGTTTTCTGGGCACCGTAGGGTGCTCGGTTCGCACTGTTCTTATTGCTGCCCCTAGCTGCCAATAGTGCTGGAGGTTGCTGCTGTGCTGTTAAGCTCTCGGTCTTGCGATTGTGTTTTGTTTTACGCATGTTGTCTGTAGATCTTTGGTACTACCTAAATTGTGCAGTGCTTGCGTGGCGTGTTCAAGTGTGCATATACTTATATGAACGCTACCCTGAACCCTTTACGCTCCCTCAAACTCCTCAATCCTGAATCAAACTGGCATTCCCAGTCGATCATTGAGGCAGCTGCCTGGGAGCAGCATTACATCCAGCAGTGGTACTTCTACTTTCTGGCCGGGTGCTGAGAAGGTTGAGACGATTTAGGGTTAGGGTTTAGGGGCTAGGGGTTTCGGGTTTAAGGTTGAGGCCTAGAGGCTTGCCCTAGGGCCCATAGTAGGGGTTTACATTTGGGACTCAAACCCTCGGCCGAACACTAACCCTGCAGTATTCGGGACCGAAAGACCCAGTACTTGTGTACTTAGACCCTCTGCGTTAATGTAGGAACCCGGTTAAGAAACCTTGGGCCTTTATCAGGGCTCTTTGTATGAATCCTACTATTTTGGGGTTATAGGCCCAAGGTTTCTCAATCACGTTCCTACATTCATACTTAAATCTCACAATGGGTAGGAATAGAAAGGTACATGTTTATCACGATCCCAACCATGAACTACTGTTGATGATATAAATCCTGCATTACCTTACTGTAATAATAAGGAATATACCATGATTCTCACAGTTTAGGGCCCTTAAGGTAATGCAGGATTTATATCATCAACCGTAGGTTAGGGTGTTCTGGGGTTCTTGACGAGGATTCGGCGCCTTAAACCTCCTTATTGAGTTTGGGCCTATAGGTTTAAGGTTTCAACCCGGGCCCTAGACCCTACACCCTAAAATCCCTAAAATCTGTACCCTACACCCTAAACCTTTCCACGAAGTCGACCGTTTAGCTTTCCCTAAGGGTCCATGTACTCATATAGTATATACATTGGCCTTAATGTAGTCCCTATAGGTACTTTGGGGCCCATGTATCTCTATATGGGTACATGGACCCTCAGGGTTTCCGCAGTACGAAATGGGGGTTTCCGAAAACAGGAGACCCTAATATAGTACCCTCAAAAGTAGGATCCTTATTTTAAGGGCCCCAAAATAAGGACCCTTAATTTTCGGAAACTCCCAAACCCTAAACCCTAAACCCTAAACCCCAAACCCTAAACCCTAAACCCTAATCGAGCCACAGACAGGGCTCCCTCAACCCTAAAGGGAACTCCAGAAAGTTGGAATATGGATTAATGGTAGGATCCCCTATAATTTACCTTAAAGGGGTTACGATAATGATATTCCAACTTTCTGGCGTCTACTGTAAACCCTGCCATGCGGTGCAGGCCAGGGCTTCGAGGCATGCAAGCGGGATTTCAGAAGCCTGGAACGAACCCGGGAAGCCGGACCTACAACTACGGTTGATGTTATAAATCCCGCATTACCTTGAGGACCCATAAACTATGGGAATTATGGTATATTCCCTATTATATGGGTAATGCAGGATTTATATCATCAACCGTAGGGCCTCGGGGTTAGCCCGATTTACAGGGCCCACTGTTTTAGCATGTGTCGACTACTGCTCCGGGTTTTAGAACCCAAAGGGTTCTATGTACTGTTATGGGGAATACTTCCGTAGTAATTACTTATATAGAAACCCTACATTCTACTATATCGGTACTGCTCATCCGGGGTTGCCAACATTGCCAACGCAGAGTGATCCGTCACAAGCTGAGGTCGTTTTCGTCTTGCTGGTGTCACCCGGCAGCATGTCTTTTCTCTGCACCCCTTCAGTGCAAAAGCCTGAAGCCCTGAAGCCCTAAGCACTTTATAAACTTCGAACCTCCAGGAGGTCGCACATCTCAGGGTTGCAGGGTTAGAGCTTCCTCGGAGAGAGAGCCGCAACTACAAGCATTTCCAAAGCAATAAATGCGCGCACAAGACAATGATGCGCGTGATCAGACATAGTATCTCGCCGAACATCCAAGTTCCCCTCATCATAACTCTTGTGGTGTATTCTAAAATGACCGAAACTCCAGCGGTGGATCGGTGGGGACGGGGATGACGTGGGCTGGTGCAATCCGCGAAAACAGGCTGAGTCCTACGTACCTTCAAGCTTCCCTCCCTGCGTTCGAGACCTTCGAGCATCCTCCACTACCCAGTGAGCGCAAAACGGTTTAATTAAGGCAAGGAATATACCTTAATTAAGTTCTAATATTAAATCCGCTATCATTGGAGGAAATAAGGAGTATCTAGTGCGGACTCCAGGGTTGATGATTGAGGCTTCTCACTTCGTCACTTGTCTTGTGGTTGTATTGAGCTGAAACTTGAGCTTTCGGGTGCAGGCTCGCAGCTCGCAGGCTGTTATATGGGGTATTGCAGAGAAATGACCTTCACAACCACGGTCTGCGGAGTTGGGCGTGCGGTCGTGCCTTGCATGTCCGGGCCTTGTACAGGGATCCGTGCTTGAAACAAGGAGCTGCTAAATCGCTCCTTCATTGAAGGGTATTGGCCTCTCTGGATCTAGAAGCTCCATCCGAGTAGGACTTCCAAGCTGCGCTCGTCGCCACTCTCCTGGTAGCTCAACCATAGGCCCCATAGTAGTTCCTTTTTGGGATTACCTTATAGAATTCTAGATATGACCCCCAAAAAGCAACTACTATGGGGCCTATGGGTAAGTTCCTCAACAAGAACCCGGAGCGAGGACTGCTGTCGGGACTTCGTTGTGGGATCGCATGTCGCAGCTGATCCAGGACCTGCAAGTGTGCGTAATGTACAGTAGGGGTCTGAGTGAATGGCACTACGAGGCCCTTTTAAATCTTCGTCAAGCATGGGGGTTTCCGAAATTAGGGGTGCGTACCTGATTTTGGGGTCCTTAAGACAAGGATCCTACTGTTCAGCGTACTATAGTATAGCTCCCCTACTTTCGGCAACTCCCATATCATAACTTGCCGCCAAGTCTAGCCACCGGTCGTCGCCCGTCGGGGTGCTTGGAGGATCATGGGACTTAGTAAGGAAGGTTATAAGTACCATCATTGGGGTTATAAGTATGGCGACCCTAATAGTAACCCTAGTTACTAAGTCCCATGATCCTTAAACCCAAACCAACCATAGATCCCTTTAAGGAATCCTTTAAGAAACCCTCTATAAGTTACTAAGTCCCATGATCCTTTAAATAGATCCTAAAACCCCTCTTATAATAGAGCCCCGATAGATCCCTTAAAAGGAGCCCTTTAAGGAACCCTAGTTACTAAGTCCCATGATCCTTCAAATAATGCCCTTCGTATGAGCAGCCGGGGATCTCCCCCACCATGGGTCCTCTCGAGGGCAGCATTTCCGGTATCATAAGGACCCTTAGGGGGGGTAGGAATCTCTGATCTGACCTATGCGCATGCAGCAACACCTCCACCAACCCAAAGTGTCCAAGCAATAGTACAGTATACAGTTACTTTGGGGGCCCAAATACCTACTCTTAGGACCTATAATAAGGACTTTATAAGGCTTATCTAAGGAAGTACGGTCCCCTACCCCCCTCCCCCTACCCTCCCCAAGGGTCCTTATGACGCCAGCGTTGTCAGTTGCATCATTGCGGTGCTGCGCCGTAAAACCCCACCAAAGCCTAAACCCTAGCCTTACGGTTCTGAATCTATGAGCAGTGTCGAAACCAACCACCGCTGTCGTCATGCCACCAATATCATCTGCATCGCCATTACCGACAACACGACATACCTCCCGCCACAAACACCGTCACCATTATTCGTGTAGGGTGATGTCTGCAATGGCGACACTAATATAGATATCATGCGACATGTCACCCAAGTTCATCCATGTCATCAGAACCCTACGGACGTTTTCTCACTGCTGGCGTCGACACTGCCAACGGCCACTCACTTCTACCTGAACTACGTCCCAGTTCAGCTCCTCGGCTTCCAAGTTGCTGAGAGAATCAGCTGTCCCTCCTTGAGGGCCATCATGCAATTTTCGAGATAATTTCTTTTGTTTCACAGGAGGTCTCTCATTGAGTACAGGAAACCTCAAAACCCTTCGAGCCCTCAAAACCCTAAACAAGAATTCTCTCATTGAAGACCGGAACCCACCTCAAAGTTCAGGCTGCATTCGAAGAGTTTGCCCCGGAAGCTCAGGTGGGGCACGCACCTCATGAACATGATGCGCTACTGGGCTTTGGAGTACCTTATTTTATTACGTTTTTCTTAAAGGAACCATTATGAAATAAGAAGTTCATACTTTTTGGGAGCACCATACTTTATTACGTTTTTTCTTAGAGGAACCATTATGAAATCAGAAGTTTATACTTTTTTATCCCAGGTTACTTAAAGCCCAGGCTATGTGCCCCTGGCGAAGTATCTCGGCTACCGAAAGGCCGGAGCAGGGTTCGGCACTGCCAGCATCTTAGGGTTCAGGGTTTAGGGCTTAGCCTTGGCAGAGGGTTGGAGTGATTGAGCTTGCAACACCTGGCATGCTTTCCATCAGAATGTGTGCAGCCGTATTGTCGGTTCCTCCCCGGATCAGGATAACTATAGCTATCGGGCCTTATAGCCCCATTTTTGCTACCCATGAACCTCCGAATAAAGATTATTCCCAGAGGGTCCAAGTACTCCCTATTATCGGACTTTAGGGCCTTTTTAGGTATCAAAAACCATAAATAAGGACTACTTGGACCCTTAGGGATTGAGGCCTCTGCATGACATGCGTCCGCAGTAGCTCCCCCGGCCAGGTGTGCTCTGACGACAAGGCGCGAGAAAGAGCAGAGCCAGAAGATCAAGACTACTACGGTCCCTCATCTTCAGGGTGCGGGCTTGGGGGGTTTTTGTTTTCGGATTTCCGGGTGTTTGTAAATGACATGAGGGTTTCGGTGGTTTAAGGTCTAGGGACTACTGCGGTCCCTCATCTTCAGGGTGCCGGCTTAAGGGTTTAGGTCAAGATCCCTGGGCCTATACTATAACCCCAAAACAGTAGGATTCATATAAAGATCCCTTAATAAAGGCCCGAGGTTTCTTAATCAGGTTCCTACATTACGGGGGCTTAACTGGGTTGTGCTTTGGGACAATGTTTAATACCCCTTATTTCCTTATAAAGGGAACCTATTCATAAATAATTTTCAAAGGGCTTAAAGCACAAACCAGTTAAGGCTTTAGGTTTTCCGGTTTGGGGTGTTTGTAACTCCAAGGGTAAAAGGAGGGACCCTTAATAAGAACCCCTAGGTATATACCCTTAATACAGCTATTATATACCCATTATATAGCCCATTATATGGGGCTTTTCGGACCAGAGTCTGTTAACGTCTTTCATCTTCAGGGGTCAGGCCTGGGGGTTTTATGTTTTCGGATTTTCGGGTGTTTGTAAGGGCTCCGGTGGTTTAAGGCTGAGGGACTACTATGGTCCCTCATCTTTGTGTACGTTTAGGGTTTAGGGTTAAGGTATTCGAGTTTGGGGTGTTTGTAACTGAAGGGCTTCGGAATTTGGGGTTCAGCGCAAGAGTCTGCTATGGTCTCTCATCTTCCTTTGTATATAAGGGCTTTGCGGGTTCTGGGCTTCGGGACTACTATGGTACCACATCTTTGTTTGTAAGGGTTGAGCGAGGTTGGGGTTTAGGGTCAAGTATCGTGCCTCCGCTTCACGTGTAATGGGCCTTATATAGGTTTAGGACCTACTATGATTCCTTACCTTTCTGTGTATGTGTTTTTTTGGCGGTTTTTGGTGTTCTTTTATAGTTCTTCAGAGTAGAAGGGTTTTGTTGCTGTACGGTTCCCTCAGCTTCATTTAATGGCCGGATGACTGTGAGGAACCTGCTTGGGAAGGTTTGCGCGGTCCGTGTGCGTTCTCAGAAATCACAAGTTTGAGGGCAACGACAGTTTTAGGAACTTGTAAGTGTAGGGGGTTCAAGAGCCTTGTGGGAGGTTGACACGGCTATTGTAAGCATTTTGCGAGTATTGCAAGGATTCTGTTTGGTGATTGCTTGTGCCGACAAGGAATAGAATGTATATTGGGGTTCCCATCACAAGCCAGTGTTTGGGGGCTCAGTTACGTTTGCACTCTTAACTTACTCTGTGAAGTCTCCAAATGCGGTGAGTTTTGCTAGCCTCGCCTCGGAAGCAAGAACCCTACCTGAGGCCCGAAGAACCTACCTCTTTAACTTAGGGCTCCATATTGGTTTAGGGTTCAGGGTTTAGGGATTAGGGGTTTAGGGTTTAGGGTCTCAACTCCAGAAAAAAGGTAGGTCATGTGGGGTTCTTCGTAAACCCTAATCCCACGTGAGTCCATCCCAGGCATGGGCTCACGAAGTGCCCGTCACACCCTGATTGCTGTGACCGGCCTGGTGTTCTGCCCCTCGGAATCGGACTCCAAACCCGACACCCCACATCCTTTAGGGTTCAGGGTTTAGGGTTGAGGGTTTAGGGCTTAGAGTAACTTGGGGTTCAGGGTTGAGGGTTTAGGGCTTAGAGTAACTTGGAGGTTTGTAGCGCTTACAAGCGGGGTTACAAGTACAGTAGGATAACTGGAGAAGAAGCACAAAATAGGGGACTTATGACCCTACTTACAACTAGCTGCGGTTTGCCAAAGCTGTGGTGTACGGTCTTGGGTTTGGGCTGTGAATGTCTGCATGTTTCGGGAACATAGTACATGTGTGACCGCCATAAGGCAACCATTTAAGGCTTAAGGCCTTGAGGGGTTGGTATCAGACCGGAATAGTTGCACTTCGGAAGCGTTTGTATCAAACTCCGAGTGCCCCTTGCACCGCTGTAGTTCACCTGCAGGTAGGTCAGTACCTTGGACACCCTCTATGCTTCCCTGTTGCCATGATCCTCACTTGGAGGTTCCTGGGTAGTTTTAAATGGAGGTTCTCTGTTCTAAAACATGGTTGACTAGCTATCATACCGTTGGTGATATAAATCCTGCATTACCTTAAGGACCCTAAACTATGGGAATTATGGCACATTCCTTATTATGGGTGTTGCAGGATTTATATCATCAACCGTACTTATAGCCCTGCTTACGCATAAGCTACCCATGAACCTGCGAACAGACACCTCTCGCCTTTCTCCCCGAAAGCCGGGAACAGAATAGCGTAGTTTAGGGGTCAATGCCGCTCCTGGCATGAAATCGCATATCCAGACCCACGGTACAAGCAGTACTGCAGTCTTCACGGTACAAGCAGTACTGCAGTCTTGGTAGTGATCATGGTGCTGGTGCCGCCGGTTGGTCGTTTCCGTGGTCGTAGCAGTATTGGTGGAAGTGGTATGCTACGCGTCCTGTGCCAGTACTAGTGCGACTCAGCTAGTGCTATATACTACTTGCGACGATGGGTAATACATCCTGCATTACCTTCAGGACCCTAAACTATGGGAATTATGGCACATTCCTTATTATGGGTAATGCAGGAACCCTGATGCATCTCGTTACGCTGGAACTTCAGTTGAAAGTGGAAATTCCGAGTTGGGGTCCGATTACTAGGACCCAGAGTAGGCCCTTATTCCCTTTTTAAGGGTTTAGGTTCCCTTATAAACCCCTTTAGACCAAAAAGGGCACCCTTTTTCTTCCTAGGTTACTCTTGGGTCTAGAATAAGAATGCTCATACTGCATAGCTTACCCATAGGCCCCAAAGTAGTTCGTTTTTGGGATTACCTAATAGGATTCTATATATGAACCCCAAAAAGGAACTACTTTGGGGCCTTAGGGTATGGATTATCAGGAGCGGTTTAATATGTGCTGAAGGGAATCAACTAAATGTTAGTCTCAACGCACAGACCGGTGCCGAGTTGATTACGCATCTACAGCATCGCAAGCAAGGCACTCTGTCGCCTCTGATCACCATCCTGTGCCTGTTCAATGGTCTCCTGGCTTGAGCATGTTATTTAGCATGATGTGCATCGTGCGTGAATTTTGTTGTCGAGCGCGACATCCAACAACCTGCGAACCAATCCGAACTTCTAAAACCTACGCCCTAAATCTGTCAGCATTCCCAAATCCAAATCGCTTTCTTTTTCCCCTGAACCGAAGCAAAGAACCGATCTGAGGATTCCTGCGCAGCCCTCAGCCGACCTTTCCAGAATGTTTGGGTGGTTGATGGTGGTTGCTTAAGTCAGGAAAACTCTCGAGGTTTTAGGGGTGTTCGGTTCAGGTTCAGGGTTCAAGGTTTAGGGTATACGGACGCTTGTGTTACCCTGGATTTGGGAGTGTTGGAGCACGCAACGGCAAGTGGGAGGTGTGATGAGGCATTTCTCTGAATTAAGAGCTCATTCTCTGGGTCGTTCGACGAGAGTGGCGTAGTCTTGCGCTGGTCCAAGCATACTTGGCTTTTTGGCACCGACGTCTTGACAGGTGCGATGTCTTGTCGGGTTCCTGTAATTCTTCAGGGTTCAGGGTTAGGTGCAGAGGCTGCCAGTTTAACTGCAGAACCCCATGCATGCTCAGGTGTCGATACGTCTATGCCTACCTTTGCGTCACCGGTCTCAAACGTGGGATTGTTTTGGTCGCGTGTACGCTTAGAGTTCAGAAGGTCAGTTGAAGCCAGGATTCCGGAAGCGATGGTTCAAATACCGTGCAAGCTCAAGCCGTGCTGGGTCTTGATGCAACTGTCATCCCCTTGCCATAGAATTTGGCTGCTTCGTGAAGACCTCAAGTATGCGTCCGCTGTACGATCTCAGGTCTACGCAGAGACGAAGAAGGCGGATTTCGGAGATTCATAGGGTTCTGATTCGAGAAGGGTTTGTGTAGAGGCTTATAGGGTTGTCGAGAGTTCATGGGTGCCATATATTTGAGCTTTGAGTAACTTGTGCTAATCGCCCCCCCCCCCTTGCAGCTGTAGTCCATATGTGTGTATACATATGTAGATATGCATGTATGTGGGGCAGAAAGATAGCACCAACAGCTGCGCCCCTCCCCATCCAAAAACGTAGCAATATTATTTTCAGGGCTAATAGTAACGATCGTAATAATAGTCATGATAACACTAAGGTTGACCATTATGTGTATCAGTACAGATGCCATGATGGATCAAAGAACTACGGAAGATGTGCATGTATGTCTTTCTCTGTCTCTCTCTCTCTCTCTCTCTCTCTCTCTATATATATATATAGGTACATACCTATCTATGTACATGCATACATACATCCATGCAACATAAAACGGTATCCTCGAGGCGGACCTGGGTGGCGTCTTCTGGAGCACAAAAATGAGACATGTTCAGCAGGGCCTGCCGGGGCCTTAAAGATTCCGGCTTGAGGGTGCTTAGGGTTTAGACTCTAACTAGAGGTGTTGTATTAATTTGAAGATTGGGGTTCGGAGTATGGGCGGTGTTTAGGGTTTAGTTTAGAGTCTACCCAAAGGCCCCAAAGTAGTTCCTTTTTGGGGGTTGCTGTATAGAATTCTATAAGGTATTCCCAAGAAGGAACTACTATGGGGCCTATGGGTAGAGGTGTTGTATTAAAGGGCACTCCAGAAAGTTGGAATATGCTTTCATGGTAGGATACCCTATAATTTGCCATAAAGGGTGTAGGATAATCATATTCCAACTTTCTGGCTTTTACCTTAATCTAAAACTTGGGGTTGGGAGTATATATGGGTCTTGGGGTTGCCGGGTTTGGGACATGCGTTTTGCGGTTGGCGGATTTCCTATTCGCGGTTAGCATCAAGGTTAGGGTTTAGGGAGCGTGTTTCATGATTCGTGTTTCATGATTCAGGGGTTTGGTGTTGCATAAGCCATTCAACACCCTGAACCCTAAAGCCCAACGGCCTACAACAGCAAGCAGGCTTTCAACATTGGTTACCTGCAGCCTTAGGCTTAGCTCCGAGACTAAGATATTGCAAGTGGTGAGGCTTCCGGGTGTGTTCGGCTGATGTTGCCGTGGCGGAGGATAGTTCACCAGAGAGCCCAAGAGCCCTGGATTAAGGAAGATACCTTAAATTATTGGGCTCTCTGGGCCTTTCTTGCTCCTATACACGGGTTTAGCGCATATGAGAAACCAGAACTGCAAGACTGCAAGCAGTGTTTTGGCGTCCGTCTCGTTCCTCGACCCCAACCCTCAAGCACGTGCGGTGCAGACGGTTGTCGGAAGTACAAGTAACAAGAAGGGCATGTGATACAAGTTGCCGCAGACTGTGCCCGTATCACCCTGCCCGATAAGTCCCTGCTACCATCCCGGTAGCAGTTTGATGTTTGAGGCAACGGACGAGTTTCGCTTTTGGGTGAAGGCCCTCGTTCCAAGTATCCAAGACCCTGAACCCTGCCATTTTTTCGGTATAAACCCAACGCCCCTAAAGCCCTAAACCCCTAAGCCTAAACCAGATCAACCCGACACCCCGAAACCCCCAGGAATATACCCCCAAACCCCTAAAATCCTGAAACTTTTCGAATCCTGAACCCTCCATGTGCTTCAGTCCCTAAAGCAACACCCCAAGCCCTACGCCCCCTAAATCCGACCTTCAAGGTATAGGGTTGCAGAGTTTAAGTTAAAGGGTTTTGGGAGCCTAAACCCTGTTTAGGGTTTAGGGTTTAGGGTTTAGGGCTATACCCCTACCCTGTACCCTAATTTGGGTACAGAGTCTCGGGCCAATAGACCGAGAATCCCAAGCTTTATCATTTCTCAAAGGGGAAAAGGAGAGACCCTTAATGGGGACCCCTACCCTATAATGGGCTATATAAGGGGTATATAACAGCTATATTAAGGGTCTATACCTAGGGGTCCTTATTAAGGGTCCCTCCTTTTACCCTTGGAATTTCCTCAAACATACCCAGAACCGGAGCCCCGGCTTCGAAGAGGTCCGACAGCAGTGTAATCAAGCTCTGTAGCAGGCCTTGTAGATGCCCTTATACTCGTTACCGTTTGGGATAGTTGTTGTTGTCCTTTATTGGTTGAGTTTAGAACCCAACCCATTCATAATTGTGCTTATTTGAGGGTACACGGAGGGTCCTGGTAAGACGGCTCATCTACATAAAGTTGGAAAAATTATAGGGGATCCTACCGTTAATCCATGTTCCAACTTTCTGGAGTTCCCTTTAAGAAGGCTGATCTACATCGTCCTGATGACGGGCGTCCTGCTGCAGCGTGGTTCTAGTATCGGCCCGGGAGTCATTGCCGCAACTTGACTTCTGTTTAGGGTTTTGGGTTTAGGGGCCCCCACCCTGTAATAGAAACTATAAGGATTATATTAGTGCCCTATCATATTCCTATTCTACCACTATTACAGGGTGGGGGCCCCTTGTAAACTGTTCGTGATTAAGAATTGCGGTTTTGTGTTTGGGGTTTTGGGTGGGTTAGGAATGAAATGGAAGCAGGGTTGATAAGAGTTTAGGTTTAGTTTAGACCATAAACCCTTTATATAACCCGTATAGATCCCTTTAAGGAGCCCTTATAGATCCCTTTCAAGGTACCCCTTATTTTATTTAGGAGTCCAGTTGTCGGAGTCGGAGTTCTGCTGTGGCGGCTCAGGGTTGGGTCGGTTGCTTTCGCACGGGGGAGGTGTGCCTGAAGCCCAAGGACTCAACCTAGACCCCCCCAACTACCCTCTAAACATTAAGGGCCATTAGGGCTCCCATTAAAGGGCCATTGGGGGGGGGTCCAGGAAGGACGAACTGTTTAGAACTCTTTTCTATGAGCTCGTGAACTGCAGAAGATGCCTGCTGCTTACTTGTACAGTAAAGGTTTATTCGTGCAATAAAAGTTCCACTGTACACGACAGTTCTGGTCATAACTCACGCAATGCGAGCAAGCTTGCCATGGAGATGTGGCTATCTGATGAAGGAGCCTGGCTTATGATAAGCTCTGCTAGTTGACTCTAACTGTCGCCGCTTACTTCCCAAGCACCATACCCCAAGCCCCACACGCCTTCACTATGCAGAATAAACCTTTAAGAAACGGCTCATAACAAGGGAAAGTGTAAAGTCCTAGACAGCTTAGCGATGAACCCCTTCAGGCAAGCAGCTCAGCTGTGTGGCTCTGGAGCTATCGGCGCTTCAACCATCGATTCCATCTGGACAACTTGCCCCTGAAGGACATGAAGGTGACTCGGGTTCAGTACTTTAGTCCAATCCCCTTAGTCCAGTCCCCTTACAGCCCAATATTTTGCCGAGCGAGGTGTTTTGAAGAAGAACAACACATGTAATATAGGGGCCCAAATAATTGCCAAGACTACTTTAGGAGTTCCTCATTATGAATTTAGCATAATGGGCCCCAAAACCCTATTCTAATTATTAAGGCTCCTGTAGTATAGTATGCTTACAGATCCCTTATAGAACCAGGACCCCGTTAAACGAACCCTATTCTAATTCTTAAGGCCCCCGCAGCACGCCAAACCCCAACTTCGACCCTTGCGCAAGACAGTGCAGTTCAGTGCGGGCTTATAGAGGGGTCATGCAAATGGCGCATTTAGACATAGTTGAATCGAGCTATGTCGTCGTCGTTCCTTCTCAGGATCCATCGTCTTCCAGGTAGTCCTAAATCCTAAACCCCAAAACCCTAAACCCTAAACCCTAGTTGCCTGTCTGGCTCGTTCGTGTTTCTGGCTGTTTCCTGCATTTCAGCGAAATCCTGGGCCCGAGGCCTATCGTACAAATCCCTCAGCCCTAAGACTTCAGCCTTAGTACCTTTGTTCTTGGTTACCGTAGTTTCTGGTTAACTACAGTATCCTCAACAGGTATCGAAACAAGTACAAACTTCCGGGGCAAAATTAGGCAGAGTCTTAAGCTCGAAAACGCTCCTATATAGTAGCTTCAGGGCCTATGTATAGAACTGCATAGGTACACAGACCCCTGTTTGCAAAGTTGCCCAAAACCCCGAAGCCCGATACTCCGAAGTCCTGCACCCTACTTCCTAAGCCCTATTTGGAGGTGCAAGGGTGCTTATATGTGGAGGTGTAAGTAGGATAACTCTATAGCCCTAAATCCTAAACCCCAAACTTGACATCAAAAACCCAATAGAACCCTTGGAACCATACCTCTAACCCCGCTTATAGCTACCCATGAGCCTCCAAGAAAGGCCCCGGACTGGGAATGAGCAGACCTCCTAAGTTCTCAGGCGCCTCAAAACATGATGTGCAAAGCGCTCTGCCCCAACAGGGGCCGAAGGGTTTTGTCTTTTGGGTTCAAGAGGGCTTGTGGGGTTTCGTGTCTCAGGGTTTATAGGTTCTAGAGACTTATAGGGGAAAGAGTCTTAGGGTTCAGTACAGCAATGATGCAGGGGGGCGTTTGCTTCCAAGAGATTGTATGTGTGTGTGCGTGTGTGTGTGTGTGTGTGTGTCTGTGTGTGTGTGTGTGTGTGTGTGTGTGTCTGTGTGTGTGTGTGTCTGTGTGTGCTGGCTGCTGCCAAGGGCCGCACAGAGAATCAACTGAACCGGCTCTGATCGCGTGTTACAGATCGCAGGTGGCACGGGCGGCGGTCAAGCGTGAGGCCTCCACGGCAACCTACACCCAACCAGCCGCTTCGGATGGTTTATGTTCTTTCCACGCAGGTGTTTGGCTGTTTGGTTTCGACGACATATCGGGGTTATGGTGGGTTGTTGGGTGAGTGTATGTAGGGCTCCTTTCGTGAAACTGTTAGTTCACGTGAGTGCACGGTTAAGGTTGTTCGTGGCTACATTCTCTCGATGAGCATGTCGGTTGGTTCTTGCAGGTGGAGTGAGGACACATCAGCATTTTGAAGGGTTTCCCGATTGTTGTTCTTTCCCTCCCTTATTGAGCGCAGCCAGTTTAAACCATGCATTTGTGCTGGGCTAAGCGGCGTATTATGCTCCCGGACCCTAAACCCTAACAAGCCAGAACCCTCGAAGCACGGCCCAATTTCTGGGATTCGTGTCGTTAAGCCTGTAAGAGCCGAGTTGGGGGTCTGCTATGTGGGTGGTTGTCAAAATTATGGTCCCTTTTTGGGTACCCTAAATATTAGGTGCCGTATTATAATAAGGACCCAGCAGGGACCGTAATATTGACAACCACCCATGTGGAGCATTCTCCGAGGCTTTTCAGAGACAGCTGGGAATTCCGGCATGCGAGAATAGGATGCTTACGTGGAGGATCAGGGGACTTAGTAAGTAAGGTTATAAGTACCCTAGTTGGGGTTATAAGTGGTCATAGGTATCATTACCCTAATAATAACCCTAGTTACTAAGTCCCATGATCCTTTAAGTACTATGAAGGACTAAGGAGACTCGATGTCATATAGACCTGAATAGAGGACCCTTAGTATGAAGAAAACCCATGGCTGAACCGGAACACCAGAGACCACCATGATATACCCGGTTCAGGGCATGGGATTTAGGGTTTAGGCCTTCATGATTATACTTGTTCGGTTCTTGCAGTGGATACCACATCCATAAAGGCTTCAAATCCATCCGCTTTAGAAGAGGCCAATATCATGATGGGTTGTCCACAACTCTTAGCCCTGAACTTGAGGCTCGGGTCACTTGGGCTTGGATTTCGTTGTCCACAGGTACTACAAAGGTATGCCTAGACCTACGAGACATGTTCTCTACTCCAGTAGTTCAGGTGGGAGGTGCTTCGGTTGATGATATAAATCCTGCATGACCCATGAGAAGGAATATACCATAAATCCCATAGCTTAGGGTCCTTAAGGTAATGCAGGATTTATACCATCAACAGTTAGAGTTTGGGGTTACAAGGTTTTGGCGTCGAAATCTTTTGTCGCTGAGGTGAAATGACGACCCTTTCTCTGAATACCCCAAACCCTACCCCGAGGCCCCAAAGTAGTTCCTTTTTGGGGTTCATATATAGATCTTATAGGGTAACTCCAAAAAGCAACTAGTTTGGGGCCTATGGGTAAACCCACATGATTTCCACAATATTGAGTTTTCTAACCATGCTATAGGCTCAGGGTATGAGTCCTTCGAACGTAAGGGGCAGGGTCCCCACTCCAACGTCCTGCACCCCCAGGCCCAGAGCCCTAAACCCTACTCCCTAAAGCCCTAAATCTGGGAGTCCTTAACCCTACCCAAAGGCCCCAAAGTAGTTCCTTTTTAACCTTTGGGGTTCATGTATAGAATTCTATAAGGTAATCCCAAAAAGGAACTACTATGGGGCCTATGGGTAAGCCGATGAAATCCTACAGTCCGAAGCCTCACCACCCAAACCCGATGAGCCCGACAATCTTCCCATGGCGGTCCACTGAGGAGCCGAATTCGGCAACCTTTAACCTTTTGGGGGTTAGGGGTTTAGGGGTTTAGGGCTTTTGGGGGTTTAGGGTTTAGGGCTTTTGGGGGTTTAGGGTTTAGGGTGTTTATATAACCTTACCATAATTGAAAAGGCTATACTTTGCTGGACTAGGGTACTCAGCCCCTGAGCCACCAAGGAGCTGGTGATCCACACGAAAACGCCGAAGAACTCGCCCAAGCACTCCGCGAAATGAGCTCGAGGGCATGGTTTGGGTGATCCACAGACTGTTGTCTGACCCCGAAACCCTAAACCCCTAGACTCCTGAACCCCAAACTCCAAGCGCTTATATAGCCCTACTCTACACTCCAGGCCAGACCCTGAAAGGCCTAATTAATGTAGATTCCTTAACTATGTCTTGTGCTCCTTAGGTTCGGGTGTCAATGATTTTGCGTTTCGGACGAAGAGTTGGTCTAGGACCCAGAGTCGGCCCTTATTCCGTTTTTCTAGGGTTCAAGTTCCCTTACAAGCCCCTCTAAACCTTAAAAAGGCACCCTTTTTATTCCTAGATTACCGTTAGGTCTAGTGGCTCTACGAAAGGATGCCTCAATAAGACTTGAGAGTAATGTAGTGGATTCTTGGCAGTACGTATGTAGGCATTTGTGTAGTGCGATTCCGCAGGGTTGCCGCTTACATGTCAAGCACAAAACCCCGCAAGCCACAGACCCTGCATTCCAGCTCCTCCTTAGAAACCCTACTAGAGCTTACGGAGGTGGCTGAAATCAGGCAGTCTGCTTTGAGCCCACGGCCGTTCACTTGATGGGACACGGGGGTTGAAGCATAGCGCCGGCACGCATTTTCCGACATGGTTTGTGTCCGAGGACAAGAAGACTGCACCGCTGCATTGAATGAGAAAATGTTGCCGGTGCTGACAATGTTCAAACTCGCAAACTTGTGACCCGCCCCCGACGACCATTCAGGAAAGAGTGTTTACCTGTACCAGAGATACACAGAAATACCCCCACTCGTCCTGATCAACTAGTGACACTCAAATCACGAAGCCCGCACGGTCGCCCTCCAATCTCCAGATCCCGCATGTTACGGACGCCCAAGCGCCGTCAGAATTAGTCAGATGGGTTCAGGCATTATGGTAAGAGAGCGGTAGTATGCAGGTCTGAGTGGTTACTTGTAGTAGTTAGTACCTCTTTCCTTCGCTGTAGGTGTACGTCTGCAAAGTTCCACCCCTAAATATTTCGGAAGTCGGAATCTCTGCTGGAAGGAGCTCTTTACTTTAGTAGCTGTGCAGGTAACCTTTAGCCATTTGGGGTTTCTAATGAACCTACCGTAATTGGAAGGGTTAACGTTTTTGGGCCAGGGTACTAGGCCCCTAAGTTAAATACAGAGCTTGGGATGTAGGACTTTGAGGCATCGAGATGACGCGTCCTCAGCCCCTGTTGTTCCCCGGGCTACAGGTGTTTAGGTGTTAGGGTTCGGGTGTCATGGTTCAGGCTCATAGTTCTTGGATTTTAAGGTTTCGGGTTTAGAGGGTGTTGAGGCTGTAGGGATGTTTCCTGCTTACGGTTTACAGGGTCTGTACGAGGGCTCTGCTCCAAGATACGCTAATGTCTAGGGCTGTTGGCTTGTTATGCCGGACAAGTCTTGAAGCACTATTGTAAACCCAAGTAAGTTGGAAACCGGATTAAGGACAGTTCGTGCTAGGATTCCTTGTACATGATGCTTAAGGATTGAGGCTATTGGGTTTCCAACTTTTAGACTTCTACTGCATATTCAGACACCGGCCAGGCCCTCAACAGCGTAAGCAGTAAACGCTGAACCCTCACTGCCCTTCAAAGGAATCACGCATAGGAGCTGTTATGATATCTTCATAGGAACCTCAAAAAAGAACCCTTGCAAGGAAACCGCAAAACATCCCCTAAAGATCCCTCAAAAGGAGCCCTCAGAGGTCCTCTTAACCCTGACCCCCGGGAGGATCCAAAAAGTAGAT